TTTTATTTAAAATTTAAAAATAATTAATATTTTTAATAAAATGTAAAAAAATTAATTATTGAGATATAGCTATAGACCTAACGTATAACTATTATTTAAAAAAAAAATCAGCTAAAAATATTAACTGGATCAAAAGTTTTTTAAGCTGTCAGTGAGTGGTGGGCCACCCTGTATAATATATAATTAAAAGAATTACTAATTTCGGTATAATTAATGAAATAGAAGATGATGTTGCTTTTGTAATTATCCATTAATTTCTTAGAATTAAACACTATCTACAGATTTGCATCGAAGCGTTTCTTATGATAGTGATTTTAATGACTGTCAAATTAAATCTTAACTGGACCCAACTATGCCACGTCTCTCTGTGCCGTGATTCCACTGGGCTAGGTTTTTTTTTTTATGATTGTCGTCAATTTTTCATAGCTTTCACCGAACTGATTTCTTTCATTGATACATCAAAAGATCATAAATCGTACCTTGTTGAAGTCATTGATCTTTAAAATTGGACAAAATTCTTTCCTATCTTTAATCAGGAGAAATTCCCAAAAAAAATTTTAATTTAAAAAGGGTAATTTTTCACATTTAAAATTTTTTTATTACATATTACATTATGAATAATAGACATCACAATAAGTTCTATACATATATATATATATAGTAGTAGCACGCATAAATAGAGTTAAAAAATTAACAAATTACAAAGAAAAATTATTTACTTTTGTAGTTCAATACTTTTATCATATCAAATCTAATTCGACAATAATACTTTAAAAATATTAGAAATTAATGATTTTTATTGTTTATATGGAATAAGCGGGTTAGCTACTCTTTATTTAATTCAGTGATTTGTTTTCAATTATGGAGGGTAATATCTTCAACTAAATACAAATTGTAATAATTTGACGTATTTTTGAAAAAAGTAGGTTAAGTAGGGTGGGAAAAATAAATCGCAGCCATAATTAAAAACACATAGTAAAATAATATTAACACGAATAAGAAATTTCTTCTTATGAGGGGAGACTACAGTTATGGTATCTTTGATATTTATTCAAGTTAATGAATCTAAATGAGATTAAAATAAAATAATTTGAAATTTTTTTTCTAACTCAAAAAGAATAAAAGCAAAAATGCAAAAAATTAATCGCTACAGGCGAATTTGAACCTCGTACATTTAGCGTGAAAGATACAAGTGTAACAGATTCGGCAACTATTTGTCGCTTTCGACGCTTGATAATATTGGCAATTTAAGCTAATTAAATTTTTAAATTTACTTTTTTCAACTTAAAAAAAGAAAAAAATTATTTTAAAGTTTAAATTTATATTCTATATCAATTAAATTATATAATGTTCATGAAAGTCTGTGTAAAATATTTAAAAATACAAAACCAAGAATTTGAACACAAAATTAGCTTATTTTTGTATACGGTAGCCTTTTCACCAAGAAGAAAATATATATTTCGAATTTTAGTTTTTTCATAGTAAAGTATATTACATAAACTTAAATTAAGATTAAAAAAAAGTGTCAATATTTTCGGAACATTTTCAAAAATTAAATTGAAAAAGCTTAACTTGTTTGCCATAATTGCTTTCTGAATCTCCCCTTTAAGCAGTTTAGAATCAGTTTTTAAAAAAAATTATATCAAATGGAATAAAAATATCTAAAATTTCAATATAAAAATAAATTATTTTAATTTGTTCATTTTTCAAAAAGTAATGGCAGTTTTAAGTACAGAAAATATCACGATAGAAGGTGATTTTTTTCTCAATTATTACATTTTTTGTTGATTTTCTGCAACCATTTGCACATAGAAGAAAGATGTCAGGAAAAATTTTATTATTTTAATTTATAATGCATAATATAAGCTTTAATTTGACATATGTTTAAAGAACGCAGTATTTCTGGAACATTTTCAAAAGTTAATTTGAAAAAGTTCTACTTTTTATACGTATGTTTCAAGTTTTGAACGCCCCCCTGTATAAAGGAAAATGGTCCAATTTAAATTAAAGGATGTCAAATAAAAGAAGTAAACATAAAGTGTTTATGAAAAAAATATGTGCTGATACTTACATTTTTCGAAAAGTTATAGCAATTTAAACTTAAAAATATAAAATCGAAAATAAAACATTTTAAAACAAAAATATCATGTTTTTTAATTCGGCAGCTATTTGCACATAAAAGATAAGTCGTAAGAAAATAGGAGTTCATTTTGTATTTGTAATTGTCCACCAATTACTCAGAATTAAACTCTATCTACAGATTTATATCGAAGCGTCTCTAATGATAATGATTTTAATCACTGTCAGATTAAATCTATACTGGACCCAACTATGCCACGTATCTTTGTGCCGTGATTCCACTGTGCTAGGTTTTTTTTTTCATTTTATTGTACATAACATAAGCTTTCATTTGGTATATGGTTAAAGGACGCAGTATTTCCGGAACATTGTCAAAAGTTAAGTTGAATAAAAAGCTGCTATTTTAACCCTTAAACATTCGCGCGGGGGTCTAGCATACCCCACATAAATGAAAACGGATATATTTTATTGCATAAAAGGTGTACATAGATATAAATTTAGAAGATGGTTTTTATAGTAATATTGAATCGATTTTCATAAATAAATATCTTCGAAAAAAAATGTATGACTTAAAATATCCATCAAAATTTAAATGGATCATATTGACCCCCACGCGACGTTAACACGAAACTTTATATTTTTTTTTTGGACTTTTTTTTTTTCAAAATATCGTTTTATCGTAAATTCAATATTATAATCGATATAATATTGTGGAATTGGAATTATTTGAATCTGTCACCGACTGTGCAATTATGTTTTAAAAATAAATAATCTATTTAGAATTTCCACTACTCGATGATACGAAATAAATAAGAACAAAACATATAATAAATACATCGCGTCGCAATGTGGACACATTGACTATCGTTAATCGATGTGCTGCTACGAATGAATAAGTGTATATACTCGTATCATAATAATTAAGTATATTGTAATATTAATAATAAAGAAATTCAATTCAGAAAAATGATTATATAAATATAAATACACATAAAACTAATAAATATAAGCCGTGTTTGAGCTCAAAGAAATACAAAAAAATTAATTGAAATACATTTTGTAATAGTAAAAGCTTTTGTTACCGTCTTAAAAATAAGATTTTGTAGTTAAAATAATTTTTTTACAAACCAAAATTTTTAATGAAATTTTGAAAATGAATAGAATAAGAGTTAGATTTTCAAAAAAAATTATATCAAATGAAAGGAAATTACTTTAGGTTTCAATATAAAAAAAAACCCAGCTCAGGAGGGTCACGGCACAGTGGTGAAGTAGCATAGTTCGATTAAGTATAATGATATCATGATATGATATAATGATATGATAATGATTAAGTATAATGATATAATGATATATTAAAATCACTATCATAAAATGCTTCGATGCAAATCTTTAGATAGTGTTTAATTTTAAAAAAATTGGTGGATCATTCCAAAAGCTACATGATCTGCTAGTTCCTTATTAATATCCAGATTAAGATGAAGTATATCAAATGAAAAAGGGATTACTAAAAATATTATTTCTCATAAAAAAATTGTGTTGATCCATACACTTTTCAATAAGTTATAGCATTATTAAGTTAAAAATATAAAAAATAAAATCGAGAATTTTCACACAAAAATAGCATTCGGTAGCCATTTTCACCGTGTAGACAAAATAAAGTCTGAAATTTTTTTTTTTTCATAACAAAGTACATTACATTAGCTTTAATTTAAAATATATATAAAAGTGTCAGACTTTCCGGAAAACTTTCAAAAGTTAAGTTGAAAAAGATTTTGAATCCCCCCCTGTTGGCAGGTAAAGAGTCAGATTTATAAAAAAATATATCAAATGATAATAGAACAAGAAAAAAACGCTTTTTTGGGAAAATTACTTAGCGTGTTTGGATTTTCAAATTTTTTTTTTTTCAACGAAAGTACTCGATCTACAGACTCCAGGAAAATTATTGGTGAAGGTCGGAAAATTTTTGTTTGTCCGGGTGTATGGCGGAACCCCAGCTAGGCGGAGCCTAGTACCAAATTATAATTAAAGACATTATTAGTTATTAATTAATTTTTTTTTTAATTTGACATTTACAGCCATTTGCACATTGATGATAGGTCGTCGGGAAAATTTTTTTTTTTTTTATGTTATAGTATATGATATTACCTTTGATTTGTTATATGTTTTAAGGACGCAGTATTTCCGGAAAATTTTCAAAATTTAAGTTGAAAAAGTTAATTTTTGTAAAAAAGTTGCTATTTTAAATCCCCTCCAGTGAGCAGGTTATGTGTTAAATTTTCAAAAATATGGTATCAAATGGAAGGAAAATATCTAAGGTTTTAGTGTAAAAAAAATTATGTTGATTTGTTGATTTTTGAAAAAGTTATGGAAGTTTTAAGAAAATAAAGTGAAAAAATTGACAGAATTTACCGATTTTTAAATTTGTAACATTTTTGGAGATTTCCCCTATTTGCGGGGAACGAGGGAAAATTTTTCAATTTTTAAGGGTAATGTCTTCAACTAGATACGATTTGTGATTTTTTGACATATTCTTCCTCAAAATCGATCTAGTAAGAGTTGAGAAAATGTGGTAACAGACACAAAAAAAAAACGCATGGTAAAATTAATACCTTCTCAGCTTCGCATCAAACCTAAAATAACTCAAAATATTAGGTAAAATAAAAATTATTAGATTTATCAAAACATTGTGGACCACTAAATATTTTAAGATTATGGTTAACGAAACAGTATTTCTTGGTGCTCTACTATTATTCTTACAGGCCGATTAATATTCTATATTAATGACATTTTTGTATTTCCTTAGATAAATCAGTTAAACTTCAAGGAGTATTAGACTTTATGTATAATCATTTCAAAGAACAGGAAACAATAGCTAAAGAATGCTTTCTTAAATGTCCTCAAATATGTGAGAATACAGTAGATTTAAGTTCTGCATCTCTATGTATTGGCGGGACAATATTCTTTGAACAAAAATTACTTAGATTTTATCGTACAAAGATTTTTGATACGTATACATCTTTTGGAAATAGATTCCATTATAAAGGTATACAAAAAAATTAAAATTTAATTAAAATAATTTTTTTTTTAATTATAAAAATACTTATATCATTTTATAACAGTTACAATGGTCAAATTTTATGTAATTTCTATACCATTTTTTATATTTATATTCATAATTTTTAAATTATTTAATTTATATCTTAAAAATTAATAATTTATAATTATAATTACTTAGGATTTAATTCATTAAGGATCTTAAGCTAATTAAATAGGTATTAATATGACAATTTAATAAAAGATTTTTAAATAAGATACTTGTAATATGTTACAAATTAAAAATATCAAAAATATTGTATTAAAATTTAAAAACTTGCAATGGATATGTTCGATCCATTTTTAACAGGTGTGACGTAAAAATTGACCTATCATTAATAGTACTATTTAACACATTAGTTAATTAAATTAGTTATTGTGAACATCATATAATTAAGTGTAACTGCTCGGCAATTGGTAATGCGGTGTTATTGTTTAGATAGTATTAATTTCGTGGTGAATAAAAACTAATTAAGCACATCGAACTAAAAAGTTAAAAATTATTTTTAACTTTTTAGTTCGATGTGCTTTAAAAGCGTGTTTTTTTAGTTTTTTTAAACTATATTTAATCTTTATTTTANTAACTTTGTACAGAATTCCCGTTTTTCTTTATTTTTGTCCAATTCATTGTTTCCTCTATTCGTGCATTGTCACGAGGTTTCTTTAAAAATGACATTAATATAATGTAAATATTTTAATATGATTATTCTATCTGATCTCTTGGCATATTTGCTCATTGACTATTGGTAAATTATTGTAAAATATCATTTTCGTTCATTCTATCATTATTTTTGTTATGTTGAGTGTAATAAAACCTCACATGTGTTGGACCAATCTAGACGTGCTTAGCAGTCTCAAGGCTCGGTGTAAAAGGCCTAGATCCATATTGACCGATGTCAGGTTCTTAGTTTGAGCATTATTGCAATGATAACCATTTTATTTTATTCAATATTGGAAAGTACGATCCTGTCCCTTAGTCAAATCGAACATAGTCAATACAGCAGTGTCAGAGATTATTTTCTCCCTCATGTCCCTTTTATTTTATTTGTCCTTTAGCTCAGTTAATAATTTGTAATAATTTTNGCTCATTTAATAATTTGTAATAATTTTAACTATGACTTGAAATATGTTATATAAAAGAATTTGTAATTTTATTTTATTTTGAACATTTGTAACTGACATTTATTTTATTGTACTTTGGGCATCATTATTTTATTTAGACTCATTATATAAAATAGAACATCATCGCCTATACTACTTGTCTACCAGTTTTTAATTCCTTTTCCCCTAAAGTTAAGGTAAAAACTTATTAAATTAAAACAACAAATGTGTCAGTTATATTTAAAATTCCACTATGCTCCGGTCTGGTAGAGCCTCGGCTAGTGGTGAATCCAACTTCGTTTGGGTTTATGTGCTTCATCGGTGATAACCTCACGGTTAGTTATCGGAGAACGTCACACACCGCTTATATTAGTTTCACTTGTATGTGTGATGTGTGTTTGTAACTTTCCATGCGGCACGTGTTATTATCCTCGCGTATCCCGTCGTCTAGACTAGACGTCGTAACGCATTCACCCCACCCCACTCACCAATCGCCGACAACACTAATCCTGTATAATTTTATATTTTTGGTTTTCGTACCCGTACACGCGTGCGTGACATCAATTATATATATATATATATAAACAAATTTTTATTTTGACTGACCAATACCACCCGCATGTAATATACATATACATATATATATTTATATATTCCTACCGTCGCTGCCACCGTTTATTCCTTAGGTATAGCGTTCCCCCAACCACAAAACAAGGCTATACCTAGTGCATGATACGTTTACGTACTTATGTCGCCTTACTATACATATGAATATGTATATATATATTCCTACAGCCGCCGCATATGTCTCACGTACAACGATCCCCCGCGCCCCGCCCGCCCACAAAACACAGCTATACCTCGTGTATGATACGTTTACGTACTTAAGTCACTTTACATGCATATATATATTCTAATTACTATTAAAATTTTTATATTTACACGCTTTATTCTAATTAAGAGATATAAAGTGTATTCATTCCTATTACGAGGGATGATTTCCGTATCGTCATTTTTCGTCACTACCAGCATGTTCTGGGAGTGGGTAATTTGCGCGCCTGCTACTTTCCTTGGATGTGGTAGCCGTTTCTCAGACTCCCTCTCCGTAATCAAACCTTGGTTTCCCGTTACAACTATGATATAGATAGCAACTATTATCATAACATGAAACTAAAAAGTAAAAAATAAATACAGTTTAAAAAAACTAAAAAAACACGCTCTTAAAGCACATCGAACTAAAAATTATTTTAAACTTTTTAGTTTGATGTGCTTTAAAAGTAGCTTTCGATATAATTATTTTGAACTTTTTTGTTCGATGTGCTTTAGAAGCGTGTTTTTAGTTTTTTTAAACTATATTTATTTTTCACTTTTTAGTTTATTAGTTATGATAGTAGTTAATATCAATATCATGGTTATAACGGGTAACGGGAAATCAGGGTTCGATTCCGGAGAGGGAGTCTAAGAAATGGCTACCACATCCAAGGAAAGTGCACCTGCTCAACGTGGAGGTAGTGACGAAAAATGACGATACGAGAATCATCCTTTGTAATCGGAATGAATACACTACATATCACTTAATGAGAATAAAGTGTGTTAATATATAAGTTTTAATAGTAATTAGAATATATATATATATATATATATATATACATGTAAAGACACATAAGTACATTAACATATCATGCACGAGGTATAGCCGTGTTTTGTGGGCGGGCGTGGCGGGAAGAACTTTATACACGAGATATATACGGCGGCAGCGGCGTCGGCTGTAGGAATATATAAATGAATATTAACATATACGTATATACGTATAAATAAATAAATATATATATATATATTAATATTAGCGATGGTGGTAAGAATATATGATCTTCTCATATTATCGCGGCACTTTCGCTGGCGTCGACGACGCGATGTCCGGCGTGATCCTCGGGCGTCAAAAGGTTAGCAGTGTAGCTGACGACGATGCGCGATTGCGTATCGGTTTGTTGACGTTGTGACTTTGACAACGAGAAGAAGACTACGAAATCATTAACGGCGGTACGTCGTCGTCCGTGCGGCACTTGCTGGACTTTGCACCGCGGCGTATAACGCGCGGGGTTGATCAGACAAATACTCATAAAATAGGGTGACGGCTGATAGAGGTGGCACGAGTCGTGAGGCATTGTGTATAACGAAACGACGCGGGGCTGTGTCAATCACAATAAAAATTTGTTATACATGTTGTAGTTGTGGATCTCTTTCTGTTATTTTTAATGAAGAACACTGGATGACTTTTACTTTATTACTTTATTTTATTTTTTATTAACATTAAGTGCCTTACAATCTTATATGATATTTATATATATATATATGTGTCATGTGTATTTCATGACAACCTGATCACACACTGATAGCCTTATCAGTGCATGTATACTACATCTTCCCCTTTTTTTTTTTTTTTTAATAATAATCATAATCACAATCAAATATTATTCAAGCATATACATAAAATTAATTTAAAATACATACTGATCTGTTTTATATCATTTACATATAACAATTAGATGAACAATATTTTTTTTTTTTTTACATAATGTTTACATTAAATTTTTTACATACAGCAAAGTATAATACAAGAAAAACTAGGGTATAAACTTATTTGGGGCTTTTACTAGTCTCCCTCTTTTAGTTACTGTTCCTCCTATCTTATTGTGTGCCAATTCTTCTCTACTATGTTCCAAATTAAAATTACTGTCGCTACTCCTCTCATCAACACTAAAACAATCATCATTCTCTACATCCACATTCACTTCACTATTGCTACCTTCTATAATAGAACTGTTATGACTTACAACTTCATCATGATTCACTACATCATCACTACTTACAATATGTCCACCGTCTTCATCCAAAACTATATCATCATAAGTTATATGGAGTTTCTCAGTCTTATTTATAACACAGTTATTTTCTGACTCTTCCTTAAAGTTTATTTTAGGCTTTAAAAATTGACTGTTTCTTCTTAAAATATTATTTTTACCTGTAATTTTGACTAAATAATATCTAGGTTGCTCAAGTTTTTTTATTATAACTGCTTCACTCCACTCCTTAGTAAATTTGTCTTGGCACCATACCTCCTGTGCCTCCTCAAAATTGTCAACTGTTTTAGATGATTTATCATACCATTCTTTTTGTTGCTTTTTGTATCTTTTATTCGATTCCATTGGTTTTACTACGTATGGATGATACGATTCACTATTAACCCAAAGAAGTTTTGTTTTTAACTCCCGACTCATCAACATTTGAGCTGGTGAATAGTTTATGCCAGCTATTGGAGTGTTTCTATAATTGAGCAAGTATAATTCAATATCAGTTTTTGTAAACTTAGATTTTTTTAACATTTGTTTAGCAATTTCTACACCTTTTTCTGCCAACCCATTTCCTTTTGGATAATTTGGGCTTGAAGTTACCATTTTAAAACCCCATGTTTTTGCAAAATTTTTTAATTTAAAACTATTAAATGGGTTGTTATCACTAATTGTCTGTTCTGGGATACCAAAACGACTAAACACACTTTTTAATTTCATAAAGGGTAGGTCTGGAATAGTATGACTTAACATGGGTTCTTTACATTTGGTCTTACTGTATTTTAAACTAGAACTGTATTCATCTGTTCTAGTTTCCTTAATTAACTCATCTAAACGCTCTTTGGATATTCTAATTTCATATTCTTTGACTGTGTGCACTACGTCATTAATTTCATTATCATCTTGTACTCTTTTACTCACTATATTTCTACTTAGTAGGTCCGCAATGTACATATTTTTTCCTGGAATATATTTGAGTGTAAATGTATAAGGAATCAATTTTAATTTTAAACGCTTCAACCGATTATTATGAATATTATTTAGCTGTTTTTTGATTAATGAAACTAATGGCAAATGATCACTAAAAATTATTGTGTCTCTTTTACCATAAATATAGTTGTGAAATTTTTTACAACTTTCCGTTATTGCTAAAAATTCTTTTTCTATTTGAGCCCAGGATTGCTCTGTATCTGATAGTGATCTAGAAAAATATGATAGAGGTTTCTTATTTTGCATAATGCAACATCCTATTGCGTTTTGGGATGCATCACATTGTATCTCAACTGGTAATTTAGGGCCATACATGTTTAACACAGTTATTTCAGCTATAAGTTGTTTAATATTATTAAATGACGTGTCATGTTTCTCATTCCAATTCCAAACCACTTCCTTTTTTAACAACTCTCTGAGTGGACTAGAAATCTCTACTAAATTTGGAATAAATTCCCTCAAATAATTAATTATTCCTAACACCATCTGTAACTCCTTTCTATTTCTTGGATATTTTAAATTTATTATTGATTCTATTCTCTCTTTATCAGGTTTTATTCCCTCTTCATTAAACATGAAACCAATATATTTTACTTCTTTAACACATAATTGTAATTTATCTGCATTAAATTTAATGTTTAATAACCTTGCTTTTCCTAAAACCTTCTCAAGTATTTCATCATGTTCCTCTTTTGTTTTTGCACATATTAGTATATCATCAAAATACAATACAACACCCTTAATTTCCCCAAAATATTTATTCATTAATTTTTGAAATAATTCTGGAGCGGAAGAGATTCCAAATGGTAATCTTTTAAACCTATAAATGCCATTAGGGGTACTGAAGTTAAAAAATGTATTTGACTCATTATTTAGAACCATGTGATAAAATCCACATTTGACATCAAGAACTGTAAAATACTTCTTATTAGTTAATTCTATTTTTATCTCTTCCAATGATGGTATCTGATATACTTCCCTTATTATATACTTATTAAGTTCACTTGGGTCTAAACAAATTCTTAGACTTTTATCACTTTTCTCTATAATTACCATATTACTTACCCATTCACATGGTTCATTCACTTCCTCTATTATCTCTAATCCAACTAACTCATCTAAAGTTTCTTTTAATTTATTTTTTATGGTATAAGGTACCCTTCTTGCTGGACTTATTTTTTGGTATAGCCTCATTATTTAATTTAATAACTATTTTGTCTGGGAATGATCCTATTCCTGTAAATACATCAATATTTTTATTTATAAATTTATCTTTTTCAGCCTTACTTGGCACACATAATTTATTAAGATGACTCACACCAGTTAATTTTACATTATTTATGTACCCCAATCGCTTGCTATCAGTTAATCCTAAAATCGGATTTGTCTCTTTATTTACTACTATAAATTGCGTACAAATTTTTTCTTTATCATTACTAACCTCCACATAAACTTTTCCTGAAGGCTTTATCACAAATCCCCCAAATGCTTCAATCTTTAAATTACTACTCACTAATTTTAATTTTAATTCTCTGACTAAACTAATTGGTAATATATTTACTTCTGCTCCTGTATCAATTTTAATATAAACATGACAATTATTTATACATACATCTTCAATCCAGCTATTACCATTAACTCCTAATACACTTAAAACTACTAACTTATTTAATTCTTCTCCACAATTTATTTTGAACACTTGACTACTTTTTTTATTCTTGTTGATCTTATTTTGGTTAAAACTATTATTACTATTAAATTTACAACATTTAGCAAAATGATTTAATTTATTACATTTGTAGCATTCCTTACCATAAGCATAACATTCATTAATTTTGTGATTTAAAGCACACCTCTTACAATTTGTGATCATTTTGACATTTAATTGACTTGACCGCTCACCAACATTCTTTCTGTCTCCTCTGTTGAATTTCTTTTCACTATTTACTACAACGTTGACTTCTTTAGCTTCTTCTTGAAGAATTTGTCGATTTGCTTCCGTTTGCTCTGCTGCTTGACAATGTTTGACTATTTTTTCAAGTTCAATATTTTCTCTCAGAAGCCTTGCTTGGAGCTCTTTATTGCGCAAACCAATAACTATTTGTGTACGCAATAATTTTTTCTCCATTGATTCAAATGAACAAGAAGATACGAGAGCTTTTAAATCAGTGTAAAAAACATCAAATGGCTCGTTTTCCAATTGTTTCCGAGAGAAAAATCTAAAATGTTCCATTACCTCATTCTTTTGAGGTATACAATAATCTTCAAATGCATTCAGTACTTCCTGAGCCTTTACCGGTTTGAGCATGAACGTGTTATATAGTCTTAAAGCTTCAGGCCCCAGTAAATTGAGTATTCTTGCGATTTTAATCTTTCCATCTTTTGTGTTAGTCTCCGTTGCTGTGAAAAAAATAGTGACTTCTTGTTTAAACCTCTTGAATTTTCTTCCAGATTACCTTCCAATTTTAATTTTTCTGGCTTGTTGAATTCGTTTGCCATCTTGTCCGTATTTCACTTTATCCACAATTATCATTTAAATCTTATTATTACGACTGCGCCATGTTGTAGTTGTGGATCTCTTTCTGTTATTTTTAATGAAGAACACTGGATGACTTTTACTTTATTACTTTATTTTATTTTTAATTAACATTAAGTGCCTTACAATCTTATATGATATTTATATATATATATATATATATATATATATATATGTGTCATGTGTATTTCATGACAACCTGATCACACACTGATAGCCTTATCAGTGCATGTATACTACAATACATATATATAATTGATGACACGCGCGCGTCTACGGGTTAGAAAATATTGTTGTCTACGAGTGGTGAGCGGGGTGGGGCGAATGCGTTACGACAGTCTAGTCTCAAGGTCATACACGACGGGATACGCGACATAATAACACGTGCCGCATGGAGTTACAAACAAGAAACATACATGTGAAACTAATATAAGCGTGTTAAAAAAAAACGTTTCGATGCAAATCTTTAGATAGTGTTAGCCGCTAATGATACCGTAGTATTCTTCCTGTTGTCAAAGTGGCAACGTCAATAAACCGATCTGCACTCGCGCACTGTTGTCATCTACGCTGCTAACCTTTTGACGCCCGAGGATCACGCCGGACATCGCGTCGTCGACGCCAGCGAAAGTGCCGCGATAATATGCAAAGATCATATATTCTTACCGCCACCGCTTATATTAATATATATATATATATATATATATTTATACGTATATTCGTATATGTTAATATTCATTTATATATTCCTACAGCCGACGCCGCTGCCGCCGTTATTAAGAGATATAAAGTGTATTCATTCCTATTACGAGGGATGATTTCCGTATCGTCATTTTTCGTCACTACCAGCATGTTCTGGGAGTGGGTAATTTGCGCGCCTGCTACTTTCCTTGGATGTGGTAGCCGTTTCTCAGACTCCCTCTCCGTAATCAAACCTTGGTTTCCCGTTACAACTATGATATTGATAGCAACTATTATCATAACATGAAACTAAAAAGTAAAAAATAAATATAGTTTAAAAAAACTAAAAAAACACGCTCTTAAAGCACATCGAACAAAAGTTAATAATAATTTTTAAAATAAGCTTAAAATAATTATGAATAAAAAATACTAGTATTATTGTGATAAAAGCGTGGGTGCTTTGTGCCATATTTTTTGTATATTGAGCGCTCGTCTATCATACTATCATGATAGCAACTACTATCATAACATGAAACTAAAAAGTCAAAAATAAATATAGTTTAAAAAAACACACTTTTAAAGCACATCGAACTAAAATTTCGATATAATTATAATAAAATAATTTTTAATTCGATGTGCTATAAATGCGTTTTTTTTAGTTTTTTTAAACTATATTTATATTTTATAGTACTCGAACGATGAACTTGTCATCGTAAAGGAGAGCACGACGCCCACGTAAAAATGTGTATACAAAATAAAGTATTATATACTAAGTTAAAAATTTTAAGTTTTATCTCGTTCATACTAAATGAACAGTTATTACATAAATAGTTAAAAGTAAACGTATTATATAGTCCACTTTGAGATCGAAATAGGATATTCATTAAATCTTATGTTTGCTAACATACCAATGTAACTTTTATATTATTTAATTCTATTCAATTATTATTAGGAATAAAAGCAACTCTTTTACTGTTAATAATTTTACAATTTTATTTTATTTCAGATATGTTTGATAATTTTATAAAAGATTTTGGAACAGTTTTACTTCCAGAATCATTTATTTACTAATTTTACATGTCTGTAATGAATTTTGAATGATTTGTAAAAATAAACAAAATATTTTTCAAATAGTATTTACAATTATATTATGTTATTTATACGAAAAAATTCTAATGTATGTTTTGACATATACATATATGGTCCAATTAATATTTTATATTAATTTTATTTATAGCTTCGATGCGAATAATATTACTATGACTACAACTCGTATCTAGTTGAAGATATTACACTCAAGAATTTTTAACTATTATAATGCTATAACTTATTAAAATGTGTATGGATCAACACAATTTTTTTATAAGAAATAATATATTTTAATAACCCCTTTTTCATTTAATATACTTTATCTTAATCAGGATATTAATAAGGAATTAGCAGAACATGTAGTTTTTGGAATAATCTATCAATTTTTTAAATTAAACACTATCTAAAGAATTGCATCGAAGCTTTTTTAGCTTCGATGCGAAGCTGAGAAGGTATTAATTTTACCATGATGTGTTTAGTTTTTTTTAAAGTAATAAAAAAATATTACTTTATAATTTATTAATTTTTTAACTTTATTTATGTGTTCTACTACCAGTCTATAATATGCCAAATTTTTTTGTAATATGTTGCTATATAAATCATAAATTTAAAAAAAAAATGATTTTTAGTTTCACCTGAATTTAACGATGGATTTTTACAATTATAATTATATTTTATAATACGCTCAATTGAGTAAATCTTTTTAACTACATTGTTTTAATTGGTTCATTTAATTAAAGTAAATTATTAAAATTAATTAAGTTCTGAATATTTCAATTGCAGAATCTTTTTAAACACCAAAAGTTATTAGGATATGATTACTATTCTTTCTATTTCAGTTATCTATTACGATAAAAATGTAAAAAAATCGATTTTTTCTGACAAATGTACTGTAATTAGTAATTATAAAATTTCCAGATTGCATATTAATCTTAAAAATTTCATTTTTTTCAATTTAATAATGTCAATTTCAAACTTGCAAGTTGAACTATAAGTTATGGTAACAAATTCATTTTTTAGCTTCGATGCGAAACTGAGAAGGTATTTTTCATTAAAACTTTCATTTTAAAAGACAATCAAAAATAGGTTCAAAATGATTACCTTTAACATATTAAAAATCAAAATCAGTATTAATTTAATACAATTTTTTTTGTTCTTAATTATTTTTTTTTATATGTAAATACTTATTTTTTAATAATAAGTAATAATATTAAAACTTAGAAGTAATAGAAAAAGTTTAATTGCACATTTGAAAACATCACGAAAAGTTTATTTAGAAAAGTATATTTTTTTTCTGATGAAAGTTCCTTTTGTTTAGTGTATTTATTCATAAGTAACAAAATTTTTTTATTAAAAAGTATTGCATAAATTCCTTTAAATTTGTATACGCATTAAAAGTATATGAATATACAACTCCTTTTTATTTTTATAATATCTCCGTAAAAATTACAATATTATATTATTGAATACCACTTTCATACTCAATTTAATTACTGTAATTATTATGTATTCATATATTATAGTTATAAATCGGGGTAAAATTAAGGGAATAAGTGTTATTGTTGTTTTTGAAATAATCTACCAATTTCATTTTTTTCTATTTAATAATATTTATTTCAAACTTGCAAGTTGAGTTAAAAGTTATGGTAATAAATTCAATTTTTTTTTTATTAAAACTTTCACTTTAAAGGACAAAAAGAAGTTGGTTCAAAATGATTACTTTTAACATATTAAAAATCGATAATAATTTGAAAATAATTAATTATAAAAAATATATAATATATAATTAAACGAATTACTAATCTCGATATAATTAAGGAAATAGGAGTTGATGTTAGGTTGGGTTGGTTACATTTTTAACTTTATAATGCTATAACTCATTGAAAAATGTATGAATCAACACAATTTTTTTATGAGAAATAATATTTTTTAATAATCCCTTTTTCATTCGACATACTTTATCTTAATCAGGGTATTAATAAGGAACTAGCAGATCATGCAGCTTTTGTAATTATCCACCAATTTCTTAGAATTAAACACTATCTACTGATTTGCATCGAAGCGTTTCTTATGATAGTGATTTTAATCACTGTCAGATTAAATCTATACTGGACCCAACTATGCAACGTCTCCACTATGCCGCGACTCCACTGTGCTGATTTTTTTTTTTTGTGTCTATTACTACTTTTTCTCAGCTTTCACTGGACCGATTTCTTTTAACAATATGTCAAAAGATCACAAATTATATCTAGTTGAAGATATTACCCTTAAAAGTTTAAAAATTTTCCCTCGTTACCCGCAAATGGGGGAAATATCCAAAAAAATTACAAATTTTGTCATTTTTTTCACTTTTTTTTCTTAAAACTTCCATAACTTTTTCAAAAATCAACAAATCAGCATAATATTTTTTAAACTAAAACCTTAGATATTTTCCTTTCATTTGATATAGATTTTTTTAAAATTTAACACTTAACCTGCTCAAAAGGGGGGATTTAAAATTGCAACTTTTTTACAAAAACTAACTTTTTCAACTTAATTTTTGAAAGTGTTCTAGAAATACTGCGTCCTTTAAACATATATCAAATCAAAGCTTATTTTATGTACTATAAATGAAAAAAAAAATTTGTCCCGACACTTCTTCTGCATGCAAACGGCTGCCGTAGTTAAAAAAAAGCTATTTTTGTGTTAAAATTTTCAACTTAAAAATGCTACAACTTTTGAAAAATGTAAGTCTCAGTACAAATTTTTTTTTTCTAAATACATTATAAGTACGTCTTTCATTGGACATAATTTTTATTAAAATTGGACGATTTCCCCTTATATAGGGGTCGTTCAAAACTTGAAACATTGTATAAAAAATAGAACTTTTTCAATTTTACTTTTGAAAATGTTCCGGAAATACTGCGTCCATTAAACATATATCAAATCAAAGGTTATGTCATATAGTATAAAATGAAAAAAAAAAATTTGTCCCGACACCTTATCTTCTATGTGCAAATGGCTGTCAAAATTTAAAAAAAATGTTATGTTTGCGATAAAAATCCCCTTCCATCGGTATGTTTTTTGTACATAAAACTGCTTTAACTATTTCAAATATTAACAAATCAAAATAATATTTTTTTATATTGAAAACTTAGGTAATTTCCTTCTATTTGATAACAATTTTTTTGAAAATCTAACACTTATTTTGCTCACAGGGGGGATTTAAAATAGCTACATTTTTACAATAACTAACGTTTTCAACTGAACTTTTGAAAATGTTCCGGAAATACTGCATCCTTTAAACATATGTCAAATTAAAGCTTATGTTATGTTCTATAAAATTAAAAAAAAAAATTTATCCGGACGACCTATCTTCTATGCACAAATGGCTACTTAAATATGCTATTTTTGTATTAAAATTTGGGTTTTGTGTTTTATTTTATTTTAAAATATCTTATTAGGGGAATACACTGACTTTCATGAATATTATATAAATTAATTTTTAGAATAAAGTTTATAAGACATAAGAAATTAAACTTATTAAATTTTTTTTACTTTTTTAAAGTCGAAAAAGTAATTTATTAATTTGAATTAGCTTAAATTGTTAATTTTATAATTCAATGAAAGCGACGAACAGTTGCCGAATCGTTAAAACTTGTGTCTTTCACGCTTGAGGTACAAAGTTCGAATCCGCCTGTGGCAATAATATTTTGCATTTATTTTGAGTTAGAAAAAAAATGTTTAAATAATTTGTTTTTTATTTCATTTAGATTCAATAACTTCAATAAATATTAAGGATCCCATCATTGTAGTCTCCCCTCATGAGAAGAAATTTCTTATTCGTATTAATATTATTTTACTATGTGTTTTTAATTATGGTTGCGATTTATTTTTCTAACCCTCACTTAACTTACTTTTTTCAGCGGTACGTCAAATGTTTACAATTCGTATTTAGTTTAAGTTAATACTCTTAAAAATCGAAAAAATATTCATTATTCAAAAACAAAAGTAGCTTAACCAGCTTTTTTCATACAAACAATTAAAATCATTAATTTCTAATATTCTTAAAGTATTTGTTGGATACACATCGATCGAATATGCTGTCAAGAAAATGTGTTTTTTGATTATTCTTGTTATCGTTGTGTTACATCGAGTTGTTGTCGGTTTTTTTCTCTATGTTACCATTGTCGCAGCCATCTTAACGCTTCTTCTGATATAAGTTCTATGGCGTTTTGCGAGCTAGTAGTTTTGTATTCGTTTTACTGTAAAAAAAAAATATCACCTTTGCGATTGTCGAACCCTGTGCGCTCAGTTTATCGCCGTTGGGTCTATATATTTTCTGAGATACATCACAATTCCTTTGACAGCATATTGTACATTTTGGTCAGCTTAAAATAATTTCGAAATGGAGGGGTGTCCTGAAAGAAAATTCGAAAAATAAGGACCACCCTATTGAAGAGTCATCTAACTAAAAGCTGACGAAATTGTCGACCAGCGACCACATTGTCATTACTCTCATAATTAGATGGTACATTTGGATTACCAACATTACCAGCATCATTATTTTCAAAACCACCACCATCATCATCACTGTCATTAATTAGATCATCTATCAATGGCACATTATGCATAATACATAAATTATGCAACAAAACACAGCATTTGATAATCTTAGATGCCTTGTTTGGTCTGCAATAAAGAACTCTATGCTTGAGTAAACATCGGCAAAAAGTGTTTATAAATTTATTAATATTGGTAATAATGTACAATCAATTCATTTATTTAAATATTTACCTAAATCGAGATTTCAAAACCCCATTGCATCTTTCAATAGTAGCTCTAGCACATCAAAAACCATTATTAAAATTAGCTTCTATTGAATTTGAAATAGGATCAAGGAATAGTGTCACCAACCAAGGACGCAATGCATATCCAGAATCACCTTTAAATGAAAAAAAACAATATATAAAAACAAAAAAAAAATAGGCAGAAGTACAACTCTTTTTCATAAATTTACATAACAATTTTTATGATCATGATAAGTTTATAAATAATATTTAACGAG